AAATTTTAATCTGTTTTTATATGTTTATTTTTTATACAAATTTACAAAATCTTTTTATTTTTGTAAACATGTTAAACTAACTTTTAATTTTTAGGCATATTGAGTCATAATATAATTTTTAAAATAATTTGCGGTCATTTCCATTGTCTTTATATATAGTATACAATTCTCTAATTAACTATATATGTTTAATTTTTTTTATATGATATCGAAGATTGATCATACAATAGATGGTTTAACATGCCAAAAATATTATATGCTAAGTGAATATAATATGATCAAGTATTACAAGTACATCATTTAATAAAATAAATAATCAACAACCGGAAAATCATACCCGCGCTGGCGCGCGGGTCAAGGTCTAGTAATTGTTTGAAAATTCGTTCCGTTCTATATTTCCAAAATCACTAAACTATAATTTTTTTCCCCAATCTATCTCTATAGATAAAAGAGAGGTAAAATTATTATATCCACATAAATATAGATTTTTCAAAAAAAAGATCTTCAGTCCGCATTTGTTTTACTGACAAAAATATATATTTACAAACATGTTTTTAATGATTTTAAAACACTTAATACCAATCACATAAATTAATTTTAATATTTATAGTCTCTTATTAAAAATCAATACATATAACCTAAATTTACAAACTTAAATAAAACTAATTTTTAAAATATCATATAAAACGTGAGCACATTCAAACAAAGAAGTAATGGGAAAAACAAAATAAAAAATTATGTTTTAATAAAAAAAATCATTAAAAATAAGAATATGATTTTGCAAATATATACAACACACTCTACTACACAATAAATGAACACAATAGTTTTTATTATACCAAAGAGAAGTAAGATTATTGTATCCACATAAATATATATATATATATATATATATATATATATATAAATTATTTCAAAAGTTACATACTAAATTTTTAAAAAAGAATTCAACCATAATTCAATAACGAGATAAAAATAAAAGTATATACTTGCACCATCCAAACAAAAGACATCATACATAGTAGAACTGAAGCTAAAATAAAGCAAATAGGTTCAAATGATCAATATTTCCAAGATGAGATCATAATATAGTCTTACTCAAATTATCTCAACAATTCTATTAAAAAGTTTAGTCTATTGTAACAAAGCTGAAGGTGATTTTTTTAATAGTAAACATTTTATTTAACAGAAATGAAGAAAAAAATCTAAAGAAATCACAAAAATAATGATATACAATTAACATAAGATATAATTTCTAGACTAAAAACAAATGTTAAACAAAAAACATAATGAGATGTTAAGAAATAGTCAAATTCTGCGCGTAGCGCGGACCGACCCTAGTTAATTTATAAAGGTTGTTAATGGATTTGACAATCAAAACTAAATCTAATGGTATTGTTGAAATTATTTTTTCTCATCATTACTAAATCTAATGGTATTGTTGAAATTATATGTTATTGGTTTCATCATTTATAAATTTCAACCAAATAAGATGTTATTCAGTTATACGGATTTTCTAATAAATTTTATTTTATAATAAAATTTGCATATATTTGTATAGATCTCTTTGTTAAAATACAAAAACTCAAATCCGAGAAAAAGATATGGGATTTATAAAATCAATTAGCTTTGAATCTCTATTATTAAAAGAGAAGTACCCACTAAAAAATACCCCTAAGTTTTCCAACTTATTTACACTCATATGCCACTGAGAATTTAATTAAACTTCCTATTTAAATGCTTGTCTTTTTCAGTTATATTAATTAAACATCCTATTTAAATGCTTGTCTTTTTCAGTTATATTAATGAGTTATTTAATCAACCAAAAAA